TCTGAAGATATATATGTTTCTCTCAGCGCAAATGAATATAATTTTATAATTATACCGTAATATTAAAGTTAAATGTATTATAATGTGAGAAGGATTAACTTTATTATTATATATGTATGTGTATATATTTGTATATATATATATATATATATATATTATATATAATATATAATATACATAATTGTATGTTATATATTTAAAAAAATAACAAAAACCGCTTTTTATACTTTTTATTACTATCTCCAATAATAATATAAAATAATAATAATTCACTTGTAACACATAATTTTGATGGAAATGTTCTTAAAATTTTATTTACTTCCACAAATCGATAATATCGATGCCCCATGTTTAAAAACTTCTTTCTTTTTAGTAAATGTCACAGTATTTCTCTAATCATGATTGCGCTTTTGTTGCAGGCCTGGCCCGTATGAATTGCAAGACCCGTTGTGGGTCAAAATGAGTGCGATTACTGGTGGCATTACCAAGAAAAGAAAGAAATCAGATGCGAAGCCTCAGTCGCAGTCGCAGCAGTGAGTACCATAATCTCCTGTCCTTTATATCTCTTCGAAGTACGATGAGCCCAGATCCGCAATTTAGGCGCTATAGTAAATGATAAATACCTGCCTTTTACACTGCATAAAATGCATTTGTCGGAGAAAAAGATGATCCTGAGTTATTATCATTTAATTCAATTCATCGAAAAAATATTACGGTATCACAAAAAAATATAAAGTTTTTGTATAAAGATAAAAAAGATGAACAACATTAAAAGCTTTTTATTTTTTTTTATTTTTACATTATTTCTTTATTACAAAAGTCCTTTTATTATTTTAATTTAACTCTGGATTAATTCTTTCTTAAGTTTTTATTCAGGAAACGGGTGTCTGAAATATCAAATGGGGTGTGTGGTTTTAAAATTTGGAAATTCGTGATTTAAAAGGCTCGACGATCCATACACGTCGGCGAGTATGCCGTAATCCGTTGCCATCCAATTTGCTAAAGAGCTTATCGTTCCGATCGAATTATTAATGGCAAACGCGTGCGCGCGAGTTTTTAAGCGTTTACCATCAATTGAACTGGCTTTAATGTCAAAGCAGTATTTGATCGCGCGAATAAAATATTATTGAATTATTGAATAAATTATATCTTTATTCGTTTACATGTAATAGAGAGAATTTAATTATCGTTTCTATAACATTTTGTTTAATAATTTATTATTAGCAAACGTATTAAATAATTGAAGAAAGAATACAGTAATTTTATTTTAGTATTGATAATCAAGTATTAATGTCAATGATTTTTCATGTCTATCTTTTTATATCGATTAAAAATAATTAGTTACCAGAAAAAGATTATTTCAGATGCGAAATATTTATGAAATATTTAAATCCGGAAGCTATCTTTGTGGAATAATATTATCAAATATAAAAGTGTCACGAATATTATTATTTAATATATTTATATAATTGATA